GGAGGAGGAGGAGGAGGAGGAGGAGGCGGAGGCCCCGCGCCGCCCCCGCCGCCGCCGCCTTTGTCTGCGCGGGGCCGTGCGGACGCGGCGGGGCCGTGAGAATGGAACTGACTGAAGGTGAGCGCGGGTCGCGGCGGCCCGGGGTGGAGGGGCCGCGGCCGCCATGTTACTGCGGGAGCTGCGGCGGCACCGGGGCCGGCCCGGGCAGGGCAGGGCAGAGCGGGCACCGGGCTCGGCCCCGTGAGGCGGGACCCCCGCTCCGTGCCCCCGCGGCCGTGTCCCGTGCCTCTCACCGGGGCCGTGTCCCGTGCCTCTCACCGGGGCCGTGTCCCGTGCCTCTCACCGGGGCTGCGGGCGGCAAACTCGGGGTCTCACAAGCGGAGCCCTCGATGTCACCTCGCCGCGGCCTCTCCAGCTCCCAGGAAAGGGTTTTATTGCGCGCGGGAAGAGCCGCGGATCAGCCAAGGGGTTGTTGTTGCACTGACGTTGTTTTTTTGCGGTGATGTTGCGTTGTGCCGTACTTTGTTGTGGTCTCGCTGTGCTTTCATTTCGCTGTCAATAYACTCTGTCGTTTCAGTGTTGTTAAAGGTCTAATGATAACACGGTTCTACAGATACAAACTAGCCCAAAGAACAATATTAAGTAGCCARTGGTTACAGTTGAAGGATAAATTGTAGTATATTTTGATAATTGTTTGGGTCTTTCAGTGACCTTTTGCAGAGATGCACGGTAAATGTTTTGGTAGTTAGATTTTTTTAAATTAATTGTTTTTATGAACTGCTTGAAAAGATTTTGTTCCTAATCATGAGCACGCGCTTTATGAAGGTACAGGGTAAGAGTGGAAGATGGTTGTCAAGGACTGTATGTTTTGTTTTAATACAAACATATTKTGCATTTTTCAGTTTTGCAGCTTTGCCTGAGTTTGAGGTGCTTTATATGAGGTACAGTGTGGTTCTTGGCCCTATTGTGATATGTGAGAACCTATCATGATGTTACAGTGTTTGGCATTGCCAGAGATCTGACTTCTGGCTTCCTCTCAGTATCAGCCCATGACTTTTCCTGAAGATTCAAATATTTTCTTCCACATTTCCCATTTGAATCCTGTGGCTCTCAAACCAAATGAGTCTCAGAGCTCCTTTTTCAGACAAACTCCTTTTCTCTGCTGGCCAAGTGGTTTCTTTCCACACTACCGTGGGAAACTTCGTCCAAATGCCCTTATCAAACCCAGTTACAGACGTGACTGTTTTCTCTGGCATTCAAAAACCAAACACAGAACACCTTTACAAAGGTGCACAGGGAAGCAACCTCACCTCATGCTTCAAAGTTTGTCAGGAGGCCTCTGATTCACCGCTGGTGTCTGCCAGGAGGAACAGCTCAGCCCTGCTGCAGTCAGGAGAAATCCACAGGCTGCAGTTTCCTGTTAAAACTCACTAAAGATTCACGTACAGGTGGAAATTTGGCATTGTCTYGACGTGTGTAAACAGAGCTTTGCCTGTGGGATTTGTTAAGGACATGCAGAGCAGAATGGGACAAAGCACAGACTGAATGCAGGGGTCCCTGGGAGCAGTTGTTTTATTTCTGTCTGCAGTTCAGACAATTCTGATGTTCCAGGTGACAAAGGTGTCCCTCTGGGTGATGGTTAATGTGGCTGGAGGCAGTGAGTATCTCAGTTCTGGGGATGAGTGAGGTGCAGGGCTGTTTGGTTTGGTTTTTGAGAGGTCAGGAGCGATTGCATCACTTCAAACACCCGGCCTGTCCAGCCAGGCAGCTCTGTCTGTGTGTC